CCAAAAAAAAAAAAAAAAAAAAAAAAAAAAAAAGTAGAGCAAGAAGTTGCAGATTTGCCTACTTTGCTCCTAATAACAAGCAAAAGTATTTACTTTTTTCTCGGAGGTGCACAATGTCTAGCCTGATCTGTATTAATCTTTGTTAAACCAAATTTTTGAATTATAAAAATTGTATTTGGGTATCATAAGTTGAAATGTTACATATAGATTTTTGAACCACAACTTCAGATTTCTCAGTGTTTGTCTATGTAAATATATTACCTGTAGAAACTGAGATAATAGAAGCCTATGCAGATAACCATACAGTATTGTTGGATTTCAACCACCCCAGCCCACCAAACTGCTGCTTATATTTCAGGTGCTGGTGCCTTTTCCAATTTCATATATCCAAGAAATTCTTGATTAATGATATCAAGGCCTTGCTTGAGAGTGAAAAAGTAACATGAAAATTGGTTTTCTTCAACTTTATTTTTATTTATTTATTTTTTAAAGATTTATTTATTTATTTGAAAGTTAAAGTTACAGAGAAGCAGAGAGAGAGAGAGAGAGATAGGTCTTCCAACCAATGGTTCACTCCCCAGATGACCGTAACAACCAGAGATGAGACAATCCATAGTCAGGAGCCAGGAGCTTGTTCCGGGTCTCCCTTGTGGGTGCAGGACTTGGACCATTTTCTACTGCTTTACCAGGCCACAGCAGAGAGTTGGATCGGAAGTGGAGCAGCTGGGACTCGGACTGGCCCCCATATGGGATGCCGGCACTGTAGGCAGTGGCTTTACCTGCTATGCCACAGTGCTGGCCCCATACTTTATTTTAGTGTTATGTCCAATACAAATATTTACATACACAAGCATTGACATGGATAACCAAATTTCAAGTTTTATATGACTGCCTGGTCAGTGGGTGGGATAATCTGTCTCTACTTCCATTCATGGTGCTTCCAACTGATACAGTGGCAAAGTTTCAGAACGAGGTAGTTTCAATTATTCTTCTGAAAAAACAAGGCAATGTTCCACTTGCAGAAGAAATGTTAAATTTGTAGCAGTTGAAGGATACAGTGTCTATTTGGAAGAGTTATTTTTCTTAGTCTACACAGAAATTAAATCACTAGGAATGCTATGATAGTCTCTGCTCTTTTCAAACCTTGGGAATGAATTGTGCACTTAAATATCTCCAAGTTCATTGTACTAAGTTGTCACTTCTAGTTAGTATTCTTATTTGGGTCTCCGTCCTAGAGGCTTAAAAAAGGAGAGACTCTTCTCATCTACTCATCTTGCCTTGAAGAAACAGTGACAGCAGGTGAGGCTATTATGGGATTTGTTATGTTGCAAGAATTCATATTGCATTACATTCAGAATCCATTCAATAGGAACACTTTTCTGGTCTTTAAAGAAACTTCAGTTGCAATTCAAGCTAGCTGTGAGGTTTCACTGCCACCTCGTATGTTTATACCTGATAAGATAAGGAGAGAAATCATAAGAATTCTACATCTTCTCTGAAACCAGCTCTAGTCAACAACAGGGAGGATCATGACTTTCCTTCAGATTCACAATTTATATCTGTCCCAGGAATAATGCAAATATAATGGAGAGTAACATGGTTATTCTTTTCCTAGTTGGCTAAATAAAATTAGCTTCCAATTGCTTTGGAGATATGGCAATAAATAGGAAAAATGTAAAATTAAGAAAATTGCAACAAATGTTTAAGAATATGAATATTTCAGTGCGGGAGTTTCCTCATATTATCACTAAATATGAAAAATAGCAGCATTATATAAGTAGATTCAACACTGAAAATGTTGATTTTCTAGAAAAGCAATATGTATTTTGTGTGCCCACAGTAAGAGATACTTGAAAAGATAATAAGCCAAACTGCACTGCTCACATGCACGTGGCTTGTCAAGATAAAGTGTGATGTTAAAGCATAGTGTTAAAAATTGAATTTTAATTCAAAAAACATATTGTTCACCCAAAGAAAGGTGGTAAATAATAAAAGTCACTTTTTGCTAGAATGTCTAAATTACAGACACAAACTTCAAGATAATTTATGCTCTTGGGAAAAGTAAATGTTCCCATAATTAAGGCAAAAATGATTTATTTTGTTTAATATACCTAAAAACTGTCTCTATTTCTCCATTCTACTTCAGGATATCAAAAATAGTATTTTACAATAAATATTAGTAAATATTTAATAGTAATTTGTTAGAAGTAAATATTATCAATAGAAATGAATATTACCCTCAGGGTTCAAAGAACCCAGAGGTCTGAAATAATCTGATCTACTGTACACTAACAGCCTGTGACTTCTCTGAGAAATGGTAACACAGCTCCTTTTTAATACCACTGGAAATGTGCTACTTCTATAGAGCTCATCCCCTTCCTGAACACGCTTGTTTAAGAATGTACAGTAGAACTCTGCCTCACTAAAACCTTGACATTACCTTCACTGTAGAATCTTTTAACTTACTCGGAAATCCTTAAATTGCTTCACACTCTTCCTGGGGAATCAGTGGCATAAGGGATTTGTATATATTTGAAAGCAAGGCCTGGTTAAAAGGAAGTGAGTCTATTGCCAGAGAAATGGTGTGTAACCAGCCCCCAAAAGGCCTCACAGCCTATGGGTGCAGAAGTTTGATCCTACAAAACCCTAAAACTCAGTGGGCTGAGGAAGGTTGACTTATGCCTCCTCCAAAGGAAAAACACAGAAATTTGGAAGCACTCAGTTCACTAAATGAAATGTGTAACTGTCAGATGGATAAGATATCCATCTTCTACTGTGAACATCATTCTCAATTTGTAGGCTATGTAGACATCAAATTGTTTTAAGACTATTTAGAGAATAGAGCCTCAAAATGAAAGAAACAGGTAGACTGAGTAAATATTTAATAACATCAGACACTAATAGTCTGGTATATCTATCTCTGCAATTGGGGTTTTGGGTTTGCAAGTTCAAGTTGACTTTTCAGGACACAAGAACCTGGAGAGCACTTGAAAAAAATAACACAACTTGGTTCAGAACTGCTCTGGCCACATTCTAACCATTGTCCAAAAGAAAATATTGCTTACTTAAAAATATTGACAGTTTTCATCAAATTCTACACTGTTATATTTCTACTTCGATCAATAATGTGTTACGTTGATAGATTAATTCTCTGAGCATCTTCTTGTTCGTACGTTTTTTTAGGGAAAGGAAGCCAGGAATAGTGGTATACAGGCACACACACAGAGGCACACAACGCACACACACACACACACACACACAGCTCTATTGATTTGTCTGAACTACTGAGTCTAGCTCTGCCCCATTTCTGCCCACTTAACTTACTTAACTTGAGGTAATGCAAGTCCTTGCCATTCACCACTCTCTGTCTCTTTGACTTTCCCTGTAGTTTTCCCTGAAAGCACAGGATGGAAACAATATGTGTTGCTGTGCTATATAGAACAGCCCACTTCAAAAGCTCTTGACTGGAGTGTTGACTAGCAATGGACATACAGACCTATTAGCTCTGCCGCAAATAACTCAGATTATACCAGAAATTGTTTCTAAAAGGGTCAAGATCTCTCTCAAAAGTACCCAGTTGTAAACATTTAAACAGGAAGCTGGTTGAGGATTTTAAACAGAGACATGAAGGGTTTCTAACATCACCACTATCTCTCTTGGAAGGAACAGTACAACGCTTACATTAAACCTCTTTTTAAATGGAAGACAGAGAAATCGATGTCTAAACTGTCAGCCACTGGAGGAAACATGCAATCTTCTGAAGTATCATTTTTATATGATTTTAAACCTTTAAATGCTTCATCACTGCTGGAATACACATTGTACATAAAATCCAGAATCACAAATACTCAACATAGTCCATACACTTATTTATTTGGAATATTAGATTTCTGTGCATCTACTGTTCTTAATACACTTAAATTTCATTTCTAAACCATGTCTATTACATTGCTAGAAGTGGTTATATAATTCAAGTTTTCAATCAACTGGTTTACTTGGTTGGATATATTATAAATTTGTTGACATATATTGATTATTTCTCATTTTCTTGTCTGGGAATCATTTCTTCCACCTATTTATTTTCAATCTCTCAGCTTCCTTATTTGACCGTATCCTATAAGCAGCATAACAGAACACTCCAAGCTCACAAGGAATGCTGTAAACTAATTAGCAGATTTTATGATGCAAACTCTTCCCCTCCTATGTGGTCCTTCTGGCTAAATAATGAATTTTGTAAAATATCCAGAGCTCAACCACACTAAGACAACAGCTTCACTGAAACACGTTCTTATTTTGCTTTTAGACTTCAGTTCATGATTGTGCATATGGTACAAACCCAGAAACAAACTGTAAGAATAGGGTAAGATACAGTGTTAAAAATAAAATGGCCTAAAAATGGATTTTCAGTTAAGAAAATTCTTGATCTTCTTTTGCAACTGACAGAAAGGAAAATAGCCATAATAAGATGTGTTGGGAAAAATATTTTGATTGAAAAGACATTTGTAATGGAAATGTAGGCAAGTCACAGAAAATTCCTCTGCATGCAGGTGTGCAGAAGCACTGAAGGGTTACTAACAAACACTAAATAGAAGTGTTGAATAGTTTGTTATGGGAAGAAGATCCAGAAATAAGAGGAAAAATCAGTGCTGGTTCATTACATCAGCAGTGGGACTGACAAACCCCACTGCTAAAGTCTCCTTTAAACAGCAGGTGCATGGTTTGACTGCTCTTGCTTGTAGCCCCTGGCCCTACCCAAAATAAGCTCAGTCTCCTCCATGGATTCATGAGTTACTACAGCCCGCCTCACGGTGCATGTAAATACCATGGCTGTCCTGCTTCCATCTTGGTCACCTGTTGGCAAGTGGGAAATTTCATTTTATACTATCCCATTACAGTTTCTGTCTACTGTAGATATGACTTGCTACCAAAAACATCACGTCACAAAATTCCAAAGGCATTTGGAAGAATGGAGGAGAAATCAAGAGAGAAAGTTCTATACATTCCTTGTCTTCTCCACGGAAGCAGTTTGTTCAATTTATTGGTCCTTATCAATGTAGAAATACAAAGCAAATGAAGGATCAGTAACCATCAAAGCTGAGGAGACAAAGAGATAAAACAAACAAATGATTTAAATGTCACGTACAAGCTCTCTAGCATACTTAATGGTAAATCTGTTACCAATTTGGATACATAACTTGAAATATTACCCATTGTAACAATGTACATAAATATCCCTACACAAGAAAGCACTAAACATATTTAACAATTTATTTCAAACTTTAATGTTTTGCTGATGGCATATAGATCTTAAAATGTATAGATATTTTATAGCTCTACTTACATATAAATAATATATTTGTCTGATTCACTAATACCAGAGGCATTTTTTCTCCTGATGAATATGATCATCAAACTTGACTGCCAGTAAAAATTATAAGAATATACTGTAGTAAAAATATATAGCCCTGTGTGGTAATAATAGGAAATAATCTATCTCATAAAATAGTCATTCACTTACAATCTTCCATTACTGCTGACCATTTGCCGTAGAACTGAATAGTGTCTTTAGGTTGAGTTCAAGAAACTTCTATTTCTCATGTATTTGGGCAGAAATCTTGAAGAATATCAGATTTAAGAGTATAGAAATAAATGAAAAAAAGGGAACTATTTTGTCATAAAATGAACATTTAAAAAAGTCAAAGATCAGTTAGAGATGCCAATACATATATGAAGCAAATGCATTTGGATTAAGAAAGGTTAAAAAAAATATTTGTCTATGTTTATAAAAACACAAGAAAAGAAAAATTATTGTTAATGACTATAGGAAGGATTCATTTTGGAATATGAGACTTTTCTTTATCATAAGTCAAATTTCATATAGCATTATTAACATAGATCAAACATTATTCATTAAAACGTTTATAGGAGTGGGCCTCTGACATAACAGTTAAGATGCTGCTAGGGATTTCCATATCCCATGTCAGAGTGCCCAGGTTCAAATCCCGGCTCCTATGCCTGATTTGTTTCCTGCTAATGGGTGATGGTTCAAACAGTTGGGTCCCTGACACCCACCTGGGAGACCAAGATTGAATTTCTGGCTCCTATCTTCAGCTGTTGCAGGCATTTTGGGTATGAACCAGTGAACAGGAGATCTCTTTCTCTCTGCCTTTCAAATGAATAAAATAAATTTTAAAAATTATGCATGTGTATTTATATAGATACTTATGGTTTTCAGTATGTACTATGTGAATATCTACATAAGTGATTTTGAAATAACATTTTCTCTTTCAGTAGCTTTTTTTGCAATAAAAAAATGTATGGATGCTAGTACAAATCATGTTCCCAGTAGATTAAAAGAACCTAAAAGAATACATTTGTTGAAATTTGCATTTGGTTTGGAAAATGTTTAACAGTTGAACATGGCCATATTTTAACTTTTAAGCTCTCACATTGAGAAAATATCAAGGTATTACAGCAATTTACTCTTAGGGACATTATGCTGGGCTTTGAAATTCAAAAATGGGATATTTCTTCTTGTATTATTTTATGATCAATGTACAGTCCCTACACAAGAAAAATTAAAGCTGGCTGGCAACTCAGAGAAACATCACTGGCTGTTAAAGATGTAGGAAATTGCATGAAAAGCACTGGGTAATTTTGCAGTTTCATCTCTGAACACAATTGTAAAGATGTGTGTCTTTCAATTCTTTCTCCCTCTTGCTTCTGAAGACGTGTCCTTTTAGTTCTTGCCCTTTTAAATACCTATGCCTACTGTAGCTTTGCTTCTTAATGTACTGGTTGATCTTACTGAGCTAAGAAAGTATTTACAGGGGTTCTTGCTTTTATCTGTGTTCACAGAGAATGCTAACAAATTAGAAGAAAGTGCCAGAGAACACCACATACCTTGTCCAGAGCACTACAATGGCTTCTGCATGCATGGGAAGTGCGAACATTCTATCAATATGCAGGAACCATCTTGCAGGTAAGGTTTTTCACTTCTCAACTTCTAAAATGCAGAAAGCAAAAGTGTAGAAAGTAAGTTATAGATGTTTATACAGAATTTGTTGGGATTCTGCCTGAATAGGCAATGAGCTGCAAAGCTTCATCTCTCCTGTATACAGAAACATACACACACAAGTATGATGCACTAAAAATCCAAAAACAAATGCATGTGCCTTACACAACCAATTACTATGTAAACACATCTCCACAGATACTCATCCACTAGAATTGAAAACTCTACTTTGAGTATTACATGTTCCTTAAAGATACAGGCTCCTCTGTATTCCTCTCTGCTCTTTACCCTCCACATAGAACAATGTCAGCTCATATTAGATGCTCAATAAATCTTTATCAAATAAACAAACAAGTGAGGCCTTATGTACATTAGGTAGCATGGTTGCTTCAGAGAGGTCATCCTTCCCAAATGCCTTCAGATCTGTTCATAATAATCCTAGGTTTTTCAAGGCACTCGTGGTTCTCCATGGGTCTGCTGCCTATGGCGCCCTGCACAGTGAGATGATGCAGAGCCAGATCTCAGATTCACACTCAGTAGAGACATGAAGATAGTGTTTGTCTGCAGTAGCTTATAAGTGTCAATATCTGCTGATCATTCATGTCTAGAACAAAACTATCTCGAAGATGGTAAAGTCAACATGAACAAGTGTTTTATTTAAATTGATATACAAGTGGTGTATAATAAAGTAGGTTGTGTTTTAGAAGCCAAAAAAAATTGATCCTCCCTTCTTTCTCTCTCCTCTCTGCCCGCTACCCCATCTACCATCTAGAACTGCCCTCCTTTCTTATCTATCTTCACTGAATACCCAGGTAACTGCCTTTTAATTGGAGCCCAGTAGAGTGAGCATGACCAGGACCTTACTCCTGCTGCCCCTCTCATCAGCAGAGTCGCCATCATTAAACCCTTTCTGACACAGAAAGGAAAGATGGCAGGATGGAGTTCCCAGAAATTCAAAGTGAAGTACTGAAATAGTTCCACAAAATCAATGACCACTTGATTCTCTCTTTAGAATTATTTTTTAATAGACTGCTATCTCATTTCATTGTCAAATGCCAGCTTTAATATGCAGATTTCTTGGGGCCAGCATTGTGGTATAGTAGGTTAAGCTGCCACTTGCAACACTGGTATCTCCTAATCAAAGTACCGGCTTGAGTCCTGGCTACTCCCTTATTTCCAATCAACTCCCTCCCCGCTAATGCTCCTGGGAAGGCAGCAGATGACAGCCCAAAGTGCTTGGCCCCTGCCATCTACATGGGGGACCAGGATGGAATTCCTGGCTCTGGCTTTGGCTTGGCCCAGCCCTGGCTATTCTAGCCATTTGGGGAGTAAAACAGTAGATGGAACATTCTCTCTCTCTCTCTCTCTCTCTCTCTCTCTCTCTTTCAAATAAAGAAATAAACAAATATTTTTAAAAATACACATATTGTTTACCTGAACCTTTGGGTGAGCTGCAGTGAGCAAGGAGCAACACTCGTTCTCATACGAATAGCACCAGGCTTTTATTATATCATAATCATCTTTTTCTCTAATATAATTTAACTCTCCAACATCAGTATACACCTTTATGACCAGCAAATTAAAGAAGTGATTCTTATTACACCTTTAATTCTAATATTTTTCAACACTTGTTCTGATAACAGCACAGGGAGTGTTTTATCCAGAAGAAATAGCCTTATTTTTTATTCATACCTTCAGAAACAAATGTTTCTACTAACATTTGGTTGATTAAGGAGCAAATTAAATAAGATGCAAAGTTCTCCTGAAAAAACATAGAAAGAGCAATTATTTCTGAACATGTATTATATGTCTGTGCTGTCATCAAATTATCTAGCAATCCTTCCATCTTAAAAATCCATTATTGTAAATATAATAATAGATAATGAATCCTCCAAACTACAAACACAAAGAAATCCTGTTTTAAAAAAAAAAAAAGTGATTCAGAACCATATCTACAGTTGTGCTTATTTAGAAAGGGAGACCAAAAAAAAAAATTCTAATTTCATTATACAGACAAATGCTTATTGACCAACTATAAAAATGAACCCATCAGCTGCAGGTAACCAGATGCTATCATTTTTTCCAGGTGTGATGCTGGATATACGGGACAACACTGTGAAAAAAAGGACTACAGTGTTCTATACGTTGTTCCTGGTCCTGTACGATTTCAGTATGTCTTAATTGCAGCTGTGATTGGAACGATTCAGATTGCTGTCATCTGTGTGGTGGTCCTCTGCATTACAAGGTCAGTAATGTACCCAGTGGCCGCCAGGGATAGGGGTGTGGTGTTCCTCCCTTGTCAAAGCAAAGCCTTCTAACTATGAGGCTCTTCCTGGACTCCAGAGCCTTCCAGTCCCTACAAGTCCTATTTCTTCCTTGTGAAACCACAGCCAAGTGGAAAGGCATGGATTGCCACGTTGAAGTGGTACAATTTATTTTCCTTATTTTTATGTTATGATGATAATTATTTATTTTCTAAATGAAAGCTTGTTTAATATATAATGTCAACTTTGTTTAAATATGCTTTTCTCTTTCAACTATGAAAGGTCAATCTTCATACAGACTACTAACAAATTATTTAAACGACCAGTGTACCTTTACCCAGAAAGATCAATATGTCAAACAAGGTCAGGAAAGATGTTATACAAGGTCTTGAAAAGTATTGAGTTATATCTCTCCTTTATAACACTTATATTCCAAATATAACTCTCAGATATAATCAGTTTTAGGTATCTCAGTATAAGCAACAACTATATTTTTATCTTAAGATGACAAAATAGCTTCTTACCATAAATTGCAAAAAAGTGTGATGAGAAATTATATTTTATAAATGAAAATATTTGATACATGGAAATATGAAGCAAATATCACAAGTTTTTATATGAAATCCTGAATTCCATCAGAAAGCAATTATTTCCTGAAGACCCAGGTGAGAGAAAGACTGAGGTTTTGTCTCATCTCAAGGGGAAAGCAATGATTGATTAGTGATATCTAGTATTGGAATTTGCATAAAGGAGAAAGGCCAGATATTTTCCTAATTCCATTTGTGTGCAAACCCCTGATAATAAAGAATTAGATTGCAAACCAAATGCATATCATTTACATCCAATGCAACCAGAAGTTATTGAAGCTAAGTTTCTGACTTGATTTCACTCTCCTTTAAAAAGTTTCAGGGACGTTTTTCAAGGTTTTTGCCAAATTCACAAGGCATTTAGGCTTTCGTTCATTGCTACAGCTCCATAGTAAATCAGAAACTTTCTCAAAAATTGTTTTCAAAAGACTAGAAAATAAAAGACAGTATCATATCTTTAGAAAATAAAGGCCATAATACATCTCAGTATCTGGATTGCACTATCTTCTTTGAGGACAAGTGTGGCATTTGCTCTTGAAAAAGACAAAATATGGTTCATAAATCCTCACCAGGCCTGAAGGCTTAAGGGAAGATCATTGGCTGGAGCTTTGTGTTGCTTTAAGCCAAGTTGAGTTCATAAGCTCAACTCTCACATGTAGATGCCAACTGAGTCGATGAATTATATTAAAATAGATTCTGGGGAAAATAAAGATAACTCAAGAAAGCAAAAATGTTGAGTGTAAAAAGAAAAAACAGAAAAGACAGGAAACTATGTCATATTGCTCTTAGGTTCTTGAACTGTCTAATATCTAGGTAATACTGATACATAAAAAACCAAACCTGTATTTAATGGACATAATCTCATAATTTGAGTGCTATTTCATGTACTGATAAGCATGCAAAATTTAAATGTAGCCTATTTTTTCAGTTATGCTATTGAACACAATTCCATTTCCATATGTAGTAAAATCACCAGGAATTTGCAGGGTTCTGATCTGTGAGGGGCTGTGTGTGTGTGTGTGTGTTTTTGTAAAGTGTGTGTGTATCTATGTCTAGATATACACATACATAGACTTAATAGATTTAATAGCATTACAAAGAGAAAGTTTCCTGTGTTTCAAATAGGGACTGTAAATTATGAGAATTTTCTAAAAATTGCTGAAATCACATAACTGAACAAGGAAGGCAGACAGGCTGTTCAGTGTTAGAGCCTGTGCCTTTAATCATGGCACACACTGCCCCTTGGCTGGCCAGGATTTTATAAATTCTGATGCTCAAGGATACCTAAACTGAGCTCCAAATTAGAGTAAACCACCTCTTAAAGGCATATGCTTTTTAAATTTTTCATTAAAACAAAACTTATCCTCTCTTTGTTTTTGAGGAGGAAAAATAGCACATGAACTCAATTCATACAATTATAAAACATTTTATAAATCTGTTGTTCTAGAATCACCAGATCTTTCCAAGCCTTTCCAGGAGTCATTTCGTTCAATAAACCACACCAATTCTCAGTGTGTATTCATTTTGTTCACTTGAAAACTTTCTGCTTAGTAATCAAATTTTCCAACTAGGTCACCTCCCTCAACCCAATTCCAAGAAATCCTACCTCCCTGGTGACCTGGCCACACTTGTCAAGACCGATTACCACCCATCCACTTGCTAGGAGATTAACAAAATCATGCCAAGCAGAGGTCTCCTCACTTTTTGTTTTGATGGCTTTCTTACCTGGTGTCTTCTCTTATGTACCTCTTTTCTCTTTTTCCACCTTTCTTTTTTTCTAATTCCTTTCCCTATTTTTCTTACTATTTTAGTCAAACACCTGCTCTCCTCTTAAACAGAACATGTGTCACAAAAAATATGGACATCTAGAGACATGTTCCAAAATGAAAAGAGTTGCCCTGTTGAGAAGTTGGATTTTCAGTCTTTTTATCTTCAGATCTCACTTTCTGGGAATATTGTTTCCAGCTCCAAGCTCATTTCAACAAATCTATCCTTGCCATAAAAACACTCAACACACATGCACACACATCTGTTGCCTATAAGAAGTATATGCATGTGTATATGTAGATTATTACACAGTCTCTAATATCTCATAGCTTGTTGTAATAGGATTTTATGTAGACTTTATATTGTTCTTGTGTGTATGGTTTATTACAAAAGAAAAAAGTACTAAATCAGAGCTTTTTCAGAATAATTTCACTAAAAATTAACCTTTTATAGAAGCTACATAATTAGTACTAAGTTATGTGTCTAACTTATAGTATTCATACACAAAAATTATATTAGATTCAACCAAAACAATATTCTTTTACATTGCATACAAGATGTTAACAGTTGGTTAATTTTCTGGTTTGATAGAATTTCAGCTTTCAGCATTGACCTGCTAATATAACACTCATCCTTAGTACAGCTAAAGTATGCATTTTTGAAGACCTTTAATGTGAAATCAGAAAAGCTCACAACTTATTTGATTGTGTTGTGCTGAGTCCAGCCTTTGTGCCTTAGTGGGTAACCAGTAGAAGACAAGGTAGATGTGTTCTTCAGTGTCCATCTCTGTTATTCAGTTCTCAGCAGAAGCTTAAAGACACCTGCAAGGAGAAGCAAAAAACATAACTTTTTGAAAATATCACCAACTCCTACTGATAAACTATTTCATCTGAAGTATTTTAACAAATTGTGTAATCCACAGCTTCACTCTGTGATTGTAGGACCAAACTTTAGGTAATCGCATTGGACTAAGATTTGTAAACTTTCCAACCTTCTAGGAAATGCCCCAGAAGCAACAGAATTCACAGACAGAAGCAAAACACAGGGCACTACAGTTCAGACAACACAACAAGAGCGTCCACGAGGTTAATCTAAAGGGAGCATGTTTCACAGTGACTGGACTACCGAGAGCTTGGACTACACAATACAGTATTATAGACAAAAGAATAAGACAAGAGATCTACACATGTTGCCTTGCATTTGTGGTAATCTACACCAATGAAAACATGTACTACAGCTATATTTGATTATGTATGGATATATTTGAAATAGTATACATTGTCTTGATGTTTTTTCTGTAATGTAAATAAACTATTTATATCACACAATATAGTTTTTTCTTTCCCATGTATTTGTTATATATAATAAATACTCAGTGATGAGAAAAAGTTGGCATTCTTAACTGTGCGGTATTTCATAACTGTAAATATAATCAAACTAGAAAATCTGTGCAAGTGCCAGTATTTCATCTTTTTCCATATCTTCAGACAGCATATTAGTTCATACAGGACTCAGTGGCTAGGTTTTGAGTGATTCCAAGATAAAGGGAAATGATGGTTATTGGAAAAAAGGAAAAATAGTTTCCTTTTTATTGAGTGAGGATAAAATATTTCAGATCTTTGAATCAGCTTATTTCATCAACTTTCTTTCCTAGTCTTCTATTTTCATTCTTAGAGCAGAAATAATATTATTTCATTAATATAAATTAAATCAAAGAAAAAGGGGATAAAAAAATGTTTTATTTCTCATAAAGGAGAGGGGGAAAAAAGATATTGGTTTCTATTTGGGAAGCAGTATAGAATCTCCCAGTTAAGTACATATATCCAAAGGCCCTAAGCAAGTTTTAAGTTGCATATTAGATATAGACAAGTGGCAAAAATCTATACCATTTAGACAAGTGGAATTAACAGCAAGGAGAAAAATTTAATTAACAAAACATTAAAACTGTGACTTCTCAGAGGTATCCTACCATATTTATAGTATATTGTTTTAGAATAGAAATCACATTTGCAACCAAATACTCCACGAATAGCTTTATGGCTAACACAGCAAAATTATTTGAAATAGAACTAAGATGATGACACTATTTCAGAAAACCAGAGAAATCCATTTTGAACATATTTATATGATGAGATAAGAAAGAAAATTAATCCCATAGCATCTGAAAGATCTTATAGGGAAGTTGGTATGGATTTTTGTTTGATTTGAGCATACAAATAGGTCTGATCACTTTTTTGGAAAACAGTAAACCGAAAATTCTCAAAAAATAAGATGAAGATAAGGCATCACATAATTGCCTTATTTTCATTTATCTCTGCACAGCTTTCCATGGCTAAAATGAGTAAATCTAAATAAAGCTCTCTTTGTCTCCTTCAAGTGACCTCTGTGTGTGGCCTAAAAGGAATGACATTCCTGTATCCAAAAAAAAAAAAAAAAAAAAACTACAAATATCAAATCAACACATTCTGAATATAAAATATTCAGTGAAAAATAAGTTTTATGAAGTGATACTTAAGATATTTGTTAAAACGTAAATAAAGGTGATGATCTAAACTGGATTTAGGGCTTTGAAAAACCTGCTTTTTTAGGTTAGTCATCACTTTGAAAAGTGTGAATCTATTGGCATAACCACCATTTATGTGTTTCCATAAATAATTCCTATGATAGTGGTAGAAGCAATTTTCTTTGAAACTTCCACATGGAAGTTTAGTTGGTTAACAGGTACAAAAATCTAACTAGTCATGGACTACTTTGTAAGATAGTAGTTGTAGCAAACAAATCCTTCCTCCTGCCAAAGGAAGAGTAAAAACATCCAGCATTTGTAGAATTTAAAAGAAATGACAACTCTACTTACTTTTGACTCCTAAACATATGAAATGACACACTTTGTTAGATATTGATACATTACCACACATGAATTTTTATCAAAGATCATAAATATTAAGTGTTGGAAAAACCACTGGAGTTCATACAATACACTCTGTTCACCTCTGTGCTCACCCACTCTGTGAAAGAATCCCATTTAAAAGATGCACAGTAGATCTTAAATGAGCATATACTTTGTGCCCAGCACCATTCAATGTCCTAGGGATATATAAAGAAAGAAGGAGCTCTAAAGAACTCAAAATACAGTCCTACAGTAATCATTCAGCCTATACCTGCTTATCATTGAGACTTTCATTCTTGGGCAATTCTGACTTTTCAGAAGATTCTTAACCATGTTGAATTGATACCTCTCTGTGATTTCTATCCATGGTTACTATTTTTCCTCTCTGAAGCACAGGAATAATGACATGTATTTAAAATGTAAAGACAGAAATTGTGTTTTCCCAACTCATGCCACAGCCCCTCTGCAAGCATTTTCTTTTCCAAGTGGAACATCGCTGATGTCTTTGGCTGCTCTTCACGTGATATATTTTCCACGTTGTCTTAGCATCTACATCACTCTTCCTGAGACAAGTCTTCTTTGTCTTTAAGTGTAGAATTCAGAATTCTAGAGTCTACTACAGTTGTGATCTGATCAGCACAGTATATAGGAGAAATTGTGGAAAATAAGTTTAACTGAGATGCATGGTCACTAAATTCAGGTCTCACTTCACCAAAAATTTGCTGCAGAACCAAGAGCAAATCATTTCATATCTTAGATCTCAACTTCCTCATCCCTGAGTTCACTTTTATATCTGTAATATAAGAATCTGTGAATTCAGGGAAAAGGCACTATACTTTTATTACTACCCAAGACTACTTGAACTACTTCTGTTGTTTGTCCTAAACTTAAGTTCAAAATTCATTTTAGATAAACAGCTAAAGATCCATATCATTCACTCATCCATTTATTCATTTCTATACATCATATATTTACTGAAGGTCACCAATTACCAGCATCAGGCAAGACTACAGGAAGACACAGATAAATAAGGCAGAACCCGGCCTGAAAGGTGATCGCTAACAGATCATCCTGGTTTCTTGCATCAAAGGTCTCACAGTCCAATGGGAGAGACTGAGGTAAATAAATGATAAAGACTATAACAAAAGTAGTAGCAGGGGTCAGAGCAGAGTGCATGCGGCCCTGAAGGAGGAGCCACCAGGCTGGGTGAGCGAGCCCTTTCACAGCAAGATCCGCAGAATGCATTCAGCATTCTCTAACCCTACTCAGATGTCCTGCTTCTAAGATTGTATACCCTCTTCATGCACTCCTGTGTCCTTCTCCTCACAATACGCAAAGCAAATAATACCTTATCAGTGAAGCCCCTGTGACTCCCCAAGAAGACCTCCTTTAATGGTTCTTCCCATGTATGCCCTAAGTGTCCATACAAGTCAGCTTTTCCCTTAGCCTGGGAGCAGTGAGAAACAGGCTTGCTGATGGTTTCCATGTATTCAACAGACAGCTGTGAGTGCTTGCACTGTGCCACACCCTTACACTGTGACGCAGCAAGCACATGGATGATAGGTCTCTGCTCTGAGGCTCACTGAATAGGAGAGGAGATGAAGGTGAGTTGAGAGGATTTGTCAGCAATAAATGTAACTGGGAAGCATCAAGTTTCACTCCAAGAATTAGAGGTGAGGTGATGCAGAGTGTTTATGTGGTTCATGGAGATTGAATGTCTCCAAAGTGAGTATAACATTTAAGCCCTGGCCTCTGATGCAAAGCAGACATGGCCCCTGGCCTGAACTCTGCTTGTCTATTAAACTTGGGTAAGTTTCCTACTTTCTTTTTGCCTCATGTTTAAAATGGAGTGAGAAAGATCTTCCCCATTCCAAATATGACTTGTATGAGAAATAAACAGGGCAATTCATGTGTGTGCTCAAAGCAGAACTGAGCGAAGAATAAATGTTAAATATGTGGAAATAATTGTAGAGTATGATAAATATGTGTAGTGAAAGTGAATGAATAAGAAGAAACAATATTTCATCAGTTGGCTAACGCACAATGGAAATTGTGTGGTCATAGTTAGGAGGACACAGACTTACTCAAAATAGTATCTCTCCTTGTCTGGAGACAAGGAACTGGAGAACTGGTTTCAAAATAAGGCAATACAGAGTGAAGAAACAACCCAGCTCCTCTAATTTTTTTATTCAAAGAAAATCCACCAGCCTTTTATCTGAAACAAGAAGGTGGATAGTTCTTTTCAAACTAGAGATCATTTCAAAGTGGGGCTACCCTGATAAAGCATGCACCATTAAACCTCTTGTGTGTTTGCAGACATACGGTGAGTAAGTTAATATTGCAATGGCTACGCAGGACCAAATTATTTACTTGACTGCATCCTTGAGAAGAATTCAGAGCAGACTGTTGAAATAAAATGGAGATGATCTCAAAGTCATATCAGACGTTTTAGCACTGTTTATCTTCAGACGCCATTTCCCCCTGCCAATCCGTGCAGCACCTGCATCAACTGTTGCTCTTCCTCAATTACAGCAGACATTTCAGTTACAAAATTAGTCATCTGGATATCAATGATAAAAGCTTTTTCATTGAATTAATTTATATCTTTCTATGAGCATCCACAGGAAGCTCATCTAAAGGACAGATAAAGGAAGACTGAAGGATTAGACCAAGCAAAGGGAATGGTTTTATAACCAATGCATAAATAGAGATGAATACGGCCCTTTGAAGTCAGCAGCAGGAAGGTATGAGTGATGAGCTGTTCAGCCAGTCACATGCAGGCCTCCTGGCAGTCGCACAATGGCAGAAATCTCCAGTACTTGCTCTGAAAGTGTGACTTTGGTTGAGAATGGCCTGCAGTAATATAAATGAGTTCTTTTTTTTGGACAGGCAGAGTAGACAGTGAGAGAGAGAGAGACAGAGAGAAAGGTCTTC